AAATGTTGCTACTATTAAAATCCAAGTCAAAAAAAATAAACTTAAACTTCCTATAAATTTCCCCAAATGTAAGGTATCTAGGTTCCTAGATCGAGATTGGATATGAGGACATGTTTAAGAACATGGCTGTAGTGCTGTGAATACGACAAAATCATAAAACCTGGCTAATTTTGATCAAACTGATTTGTGGAAATAATTTTAAACATTCCCCAAGTCTCTCTGTTGATAGAAGCAATTCTTTATAAGCAAAACTAGTGGGAAAAATACAGTTAAAGAAAACACAGCATTTTGGGATTATCTGCCATTCCAAGGCAGATAATCTGTCTAAGTCTCCTTTGGTCAGCGGGTTGGAAAAACCAATTTTTGAAGTAATGGTAAGACTAATCTAGTGTAACACAATTTTGATAGCATTGCCATGAAATTTTACTGTTAAAGACAATATAAGAAATACATTCTAGTCAGGCTGCAGTGGTGCACGCCTTTAATCCCAGCACTCAGGAGGCAGAGCCAGTTGGATCTCTGTGAGTTTCAGGCCAGCCTGGGCTACAGAGCGAGATCCAGGACAGGCACCAAAACTACACAGGGGGGAAAAAAAAGAAATACATTCTAGCATTATTGAAACTGTGAATCTGGGGGACACTCTACCTCAGATTTTGTGGCCCCAAATAAGGTAACAATATAATGTTATCTTCCTGCCTTTCACTCTAGTGCCTTTTCCCAGTTGCAAGGATATATCGCTCTTGAGGCTTTTGGAGTTAGTTGCCCATTTTCTATCTTCAGAAGCTGTGGCCCCCCCAGGCCTTGGCATGGGAAGGGATATAGTTGATAGTGTCTTGTAAGGCAGGTATGGGAAATTGTGTTAGGGGTTTTAAAGGGTCTTGTTGACAAGATGTACACCCAGACCAGCTAGAGACTGAATCTTCATCCCTAAAGGAAATCAGAAGGCAGTGTAGAGGAAGACCCTGCAGATGCCTCCATAGCATGGGGAAGGTCAGGATGAAAATCTTCTAACAGGGCATAGCCTTGACAATGTACTCAGGAAGTCTTCAGTGGACAATAGAGTGAGCTGTGGACAGACTACTATATATTGTTTCTGAGAAATTATAAAGCTAAATTTCTGTCCTTTGATGTATAATCAGAGATAGTAAAGCATACCATGAGTTTATTAAGAGATATGGGAATGCACTGGGAAAATGAAATAAGGCAAGGATGCTGAAAGAGAAACTTGTCTTCAAAAATTATTTTTGACAGAGAATAGAAGAAAATATTAAGCTTATTACAGGTGTCGCCAATAAAATAACAAACATATTCTAACACGAAGTGCAACAGGGGTTATGGAAAAACCAGCCATGTGTTCTTTAGTCCTAGCAAAGCGTAGATGGTTCTCCCCACGGTGCTTGTACCACTTCATGTCCTGTGTTTCTGTCCATTATGTCCCTCTCCCCAGCCTTGCGTCACCTCCCTTCCAGCCTTGGCAGCTCCATTCACACTGCTTGTTTTAGCTCACATGCCACCTCCTTGTGAAGCCAACAGAGATGCTGCACCCTGTTAGACCTTTCCTTACACGCTAGCACAAGAAGCTTCATGCTCCAGCCCTGTGGGCTTTAGATAGTATTATCCTGGATGGTACAATAACTACGAGTTCTCAATTACAGGGCTTACGTTTAATTTACATGTACATCAGTGTCTATAACCTCTTACAATAACAGGCTCTCATCTATGCTTAAGACAGCCAAAGAGATGAGAGCCTCACATCACCAAGAATAAATTGCAACCTAATTTTATAACAAGGATCACAATAGCTGCCAATGGCACAGATAAGAGAGATGAAAAAAACCGATAAATATTTAGAATTTATTACTATTAAAATTTAAGTATTGGTTATACCAAAGGAGCATTGGGCATCTTGTTTTCCTTCCTAAAGAACTACAGGTTGATTGTAGTCTTACAAATTAACTCAATGGTATTTTGGATGTGATATAATGCCTATAGATAGTAACCCTTCCTAAAAAATTAATGTACTACCAGCAATAATCAGTGAGAAAGTATATTTTCAAAATTAATTGACAAATGGATTCAAGAAAACTTAGTTACATTTCCTCATTGAAGTAGTGTGCTTAAATTCCCAGATCAGATCTCCAAAGCTTATTTTAATTCAGAAGTTCATTTGATTTTACCAATAACTGACTTGTGTTGCAAAATTAAAGCTAGGTTTGGTTTCTATTACAACACTATATGCTGAAATAAACTAGTAATTTTTTAAAATGACAATACACTTAAACCTGTAGTTAATTGAGAAGGAAGAGCATTTGTTTAAATATTTTTCTTGTCTGCCTTAATGTGCTAGAAATCAAATAGAGAAATGCAAGAGAAACAACCTTGAAAACAGATCATACTATCAAGAAATAAGGGCAAAAATAGCATAGTCACCCTACATATTAGAATAAAACTAACTACACATTAAAATACTGTTTGAGGAAAGTTCCTTTCCAGCACTTCCATCGGACCTCCACATGCTCAGTTTTAACATGGCAGTGAGAACCCAGGGTTACTCTCTGTTCTCAGCATCACATGGGCTCAGGACTGGACTCTCACATTGTTTTGTTATACTGTTCATTGGGAGATGAAATACAGATCAAAGGAAAGATACTACCAAAGCCATACTTGGTGAATAAGTGAGGTTTTTTTGGGGGGTGGGGGGGGGGGTGGGGAGGAATATGGGTGATGGGTTGCTATCAGAAAGAATGATGCCACAAGAGCTGCATCACCAAAAGCCCACTCCATCATGAGTGAAAGTCCATGAGAGCTGGAAACTGTAGCACAATGCAGAGCCCGCAGATGGCTCCACTGGTTGGGGAGTGTCCTTTCAAGGTACTTCCTTTTCTATTGGCCTGAGACTCAACCTTAGCAGCTAGCTAGCCAGCTTTCACAGTACTGGAAGGTGCTATGCAAGCTACTGGAGAAGAAAGTTAATCATCAGTCTTACCCAGCTTGAACCCTGAATGCTATGATACTGACTGACCTGGGAAGATATGCCCACTGGTATAATAGTGGCATAAACATTATGGGACTAACTAAACACTTTCTGATTGGATTTAAGACTTACTCCGCAGGATTCAACTTATAGCTGGCATCATTATCAGGCTAAGAATTTATGGCCAGACAAGTCATAGGCGCTAGGGGAGACCTTACTACTAATACTCTGCTAAATGGGCATAGTATTAAACTGACTCATTTTTACACCCGTAGTCAGTGCATTCTCATCCTTCATCTGAGAAGCTGCTATTTGCAGTGGATGGTGATTAACACAGTGAGCTACAACTGGTCAAGGTGCCGAGAAATAACAGATCACAGCAGGCTCAGTCCTAAAGAGAACATGTATGCCATAGCCCACTCTGTAATGCTCAGGGATTATTGTGGAAGAGGGGGCAAAATGAGTATAAGAGCCTGAGGTGATGGATAAATATAAGGAAACAGTGTCTTCTCGACACATCGGGGCAGCTGCACATTGGACCTCACCGTGGTGGTGACAGAGTATATAACGTCTATGCAAGCCCAAGCCAGATCAAATCCCTGTGTGGAGTGAGGAGCGGGGCACACAATCTTGTCCCAAGCTGTGGAGCTCTTGGCACTTGTTAGCTACTGAGAGGGGGAGAGTCAGTTTCCTCTAAGAATGTAGTCCCTGGTAAGTGGACCACTCTAGAGTGGAAAACTACACATCCAAAAATATTTAGGCAGCAAAAATCAGTCTTAAGCTGGGTGTGGTGGTACATGGTTTTAATTCCTGTGAGTGATCTACCTAGCAAGTTCCAGGACAGCTAGGGCTATGTAGATGGAGCCTGTCTCAAAAATAAAAAAAAAAAAATGCAGGGGGGTGATGAGGAAGAAAGAAAACCACAACAACAAACCCTAAAACCAAAACAACACAGCAACAACAAAAAGCCAAATAATTTGTCTTTTTTAAAAAAAGGACAAAGTTATTAAAGTTGGGTGGGTAAGAAAGGCGAGTGAATTGGGGAAGAGTTAGAGAAACTGGTGAATATGATCAAAATAGGTTATATGAAACTCTAGAAGAACTAATAAGAAAAAAAACACTACAGCGATAAAGACTAGACTGCAATTCAGGAAAAGATAGCATCCATTCCTGTGGTACTGAATAGAACCACACAGTCCGGAACACAAAGTGTCACTTAAATCCTGGATGTACAACTAGACTTGGTGGCACACTCCTATGATTGCAGCACTTGGGAAGGATAGGAAGCATGATCTATGTAAATCCAAGGCTATCCTTGAATAGTTAGTTCCAGGACAGCCTGGGCTACACAGTGAGACAACATCTCAAAAGAATATAATAATCATCAACAACAAAACCAAAACACACAAAAGCAAAATGAACAAAGGCAAATTGTGGATCTGGGATTCACTAACAGTGTGGCTTGAGGTCCATCACTTGGACTCACTTGTTAGAGTTCTCATTTATCCAAAGAAAGGAGGTGAGAATTTATCTTTTCTAGGCCCATTGTTTCATATGGCTAAGATGAATCTGAGGTAATACATTCAAATTAATTTATTTGTAAGTCTAAAAAGAAATTAAAACATCAAAAATGTAAGTATTCAAAATCAGTGAATTATAAACATGTTTCTTATAGAAAGCTTCATACACTATTACTAAGTATATCCCCATGGAAACATTTTGCTAAGGGAAATCCTGACTTGGCATTTCTCTAACATTCACATGGCCTGTACTCCGAAGAGGACAGCTTTTGGTGTCATTCCTTATCACTAGTCTGAGGTGTGTATGTATATATATGTGTGTGTGTGTGTGTGTGTGTGTGTGTGTGTGTGTGTTTGTGTTCATCTATCAATGTATCTTCATATACATGTAGGTGTAAGTGCAGATATGTGCATATGGATGACTGTGTGCATACACACAAGAAGGGAACAGGAAAGCAAAGAACCACATCAGCTGAGTCTGAGCAGGAAGAAGAATGGAGACTTACAGGAGCAGCTGAGTTTTTCACAGTGACACTGGGGGTTGTAGCTCGAAGGGCTCCACTCACTCCATGGTAGTATTTGAAGCAGATCTTCGTTTCAGCTGGAAGACAAAAATAAGATGGAGGAGAGTCACTGGGTATATTCTAGGAAGACACAGCCATAGCCCAAAGGGATCTTTCCAGAAATGCACACCATTTCCTCCCATGAGCCAGTGTGCAACACTTGACAATGATTGTTTACATATGGCCTCCTGGCCAGTCTGTTTTTCTAAAACTATGTCATAAAAAATTGTGTGGGCTTTGACATTTAACATTTACTATACACCCAAGTTAAATAAGTCTATTTCTTGAGCATCTTGGCATCCAGTCTACCTCACTGGACATTATTGGACATTATTACTTTAAAATCTATAGTTCTAAGATTTGAGGTAGCTTTATTTCTTTGGCATTTCCTATCATATAATTCATTGCAATTAATATCTTGATAATTTTAAGAAATATTGAGAGGTTGTTGAAATACATAGAGGAAAACCATATTTTGTAAACTCCTGTACTTATCAGTGATAACTTTTTTGGTATAATTATAGATGCAGATTTGTTTATAGCTGGTAAGCAGAAAAGATATGCTTTTGGTAAATCCCACTGGCTGTGTTTGAATTTACAGTTGGTGAGACAATGAACAAGTCACTTAACTTCCTTTTATTCTAGATTCTTCGTATGTAAATGGAACATTATCCTATAAGGTGTTGGTTGAGCAAACAAAAACACTTAGAGTCCAGTTAAGTGTTCAGGAAATGTCAGTGATGGTAGGATATGAGGATCGAATTGTGACAGGATTCCATTGCTTTCTGACAGTTGATTCTGCAGTGTGAAAGAAATCTTCAAGCAACATGCCCTTAGTTTAGTAGATAGTGACCAGTGTTTGCAACTCACTGTTTCACATAATTTTTTTTAATTAAAAGTTTTAGCGGGTTGTGTCTTAGTCTACTACAACCTATTAATTTTGTTTTAGGAGTCTTCAATTTGTAAAGCTCAAAAGATTTATGGTTTATAAACATTTCCCTATTTGGGGCATTATTTTTGAAAATGAAAACTTTTAGCAAACCATTGTTCAAGTTTGAATGTGTAATGCAATAACAATTGCTAGTTACCTGTCCAACACACATTCTCCTTTTTATGCTTAACAATAGAATCTCAGGTTTATGTTGGATGATAATGTCTAGCTGGCCATACATTTTACAGTTTTTCTTGGAGATAATATCTGTGTTGCTTGCTACTGCCATTTTGATGTTTTCCTGGCTTAAAGTCAAACTTAAATCTAACCAACACAGAAAACCTTTTTGGTATAGAAGAAATGGTCACTGCCATGTTCTCCTATTGGCTAGAAAACATGAGTAGTTCTAGGATTCTTTCTTTCTGTGACCATGTTTCCAAACAGCACTTTATACTTCAAGAAACACATAATGTCAGATTCTCATCACTTCACAGAACCTCAAGGAATGCTGTTAGTCAGACATATTAATTAAAAATGAACTGAAAATAGAAATGCATTATCAGTATCATTTCATCTACTTGATTACTAGTGAGATTAAACATTTTTTCAGCAAATTTTAATTAGCTCTTTAAGTTTCTAAAAGCCCATTAAGTTGCTCTTGTTAAGACTTCTCATGACCTGAGTAATGCCTGGTTGCTCATAAGCTTTTTCTTTCCTGAGTCATTCTTTCCCTGCAGGCACTTAATACATCCATTAATTGTGTTTCAAGCTTTTGGTGGACCATTTAATAGCCTAGTTCCATAATTTACAAATTGCCCATATTAGGTCTACACAGTCAAGTCCAAAAAGCAGGTTTCTCATAGATGGGCAATCGTGGAGAGCTCTGGATAAAGCAGCAAGAGTCACGCAGCTCACTGTTCCCATCAGTTCCCTCCAGTACTAGGATACTGTCCATGGATGCCAGGGAGATCGGTATGCTGGGGAAGAACTTTAAGCTAAGTCATGTAGAAGGGAATTAACAGGAATGTGTAGCAGTGTCAGTAGCTTTTATTCAAGGAAGAAAATGATTTCAATGTCTTTGAGCCAATGGTGGAGAACCATTGTATGTTGGGGAACACACAAACTTATGTTAAATCCTGTAGTCAGATTAGTGCTTATTTTGAACCAAGAACTCATGGAAACCTTCAAAGCATGATATTCTCCCTTCAAGAAAATTGATGGCAAAGTTTGTATCTTTTCCTCTCCTTAAACATGTATTTTAATAATACATTTTGAAATTTAGAAGCTTGATTACTAATGGATCTTCTTTACTTAACCTAAATATGTATTGCAGCTTAGGAGTAGGATATGAAGGAAAGCTACTAATAAATGCCTAAAAAAATAACAATATATTATTTTTGTCTTATGACTTTAAAAATAATTCCATTTAAAAAATTACATGATACTTCATATTTACTCTGGCTACACTTAACTGGTCTGTTTAATTCATTACTCAGTTTTGTTAGTAAGGTATTGGTACCATTTATTTTAATATTTCCATTGTAATGTAACATCATACTTTAAAGAGTGGCTAATGACTAGAGTTTTGATAAGTAGGCAGTTGTCCAAGGGCAAAGAAATTTCTATAGTTGATAATTATTTCTACGGTTGACAATTATTGCCCTCTCTTAGAAAAATAGCAAGGCTTACAAGCAAAGAAATATTAGTGGAGTATCAGGTACATTTTCAGATACTTTGTCAGAGAATTACATTACTTTGGTCTTTGTCTTTCTAAAAATAATGATACTAACTCTAATATATTTTCTAAATGTAAGCTATCTTCCAAATTCAAAGCAGTTCTGTTACAATAGTTTTATTGTTTATTTGGAGTAGAATGATGCATAAGCATGGTACATGTGACATGGTCAACCCATGAATGGCCTTCTTTATAATCAACAGTGCTGACTTAGACAGCAGTTCAGGGTCATCCTATTTGTGAGTGTCTAAAGGGTTAATGAAAGTTGTGTTCCAGCTCTCCAGAAAAAGAGATTGGCAAACTAAGTGCCTAGGTTAACGGTAGTGGTGGAACAGACATGTGTGCATTATGGTTGTTTTTACCTCGTACATTTTCAAGTTTGATCGGGGTGACCAGCTCATTCAAGTTCACAGCCTCTTTTTTCTACTATTTGTTGTTATGTGTATGTGTGTATATACAAAACAAAGCTTGAGAAAAATTCAAGTTTGTTATTTAACTATCAAAGTGAACTTTTCATTTCAGTCATGGAATAACAGGCAAATCTGAAAACATCTAGAAAAGCTGGGGGTAAAAACAAATAAAATGCCAAAAATAGTGTTAAATAAAATATAGAATGCACAGTTAATTGAGTTTCAGATAAATAAGGAATATAATTTTAGTGTAAGTTTCACATGAGATATATTTAAAAATATTACTCTTTGTTTGCCCCACATGGAAATTCGGGAAAATAGCCCATAGTTTCCCCCACTAAATCTGGAAACTCTCGCCTGGATACACTGAAATAACAAGGTAATAGAACACAAAACAAGGCAGTAAAGATCCAGAATGTAAAACTCAGGGATGAGTTGTAGATTTCGAGTGTTGAGATTTAGATGAAATTGTTCAGACTTCTAAACAAAGGTCTGTGAATGACCTCAGGAAGGAGAAAACATCATTGTAAGTATTGAATCATTTCTGCAAGTGTTCATTTGCAAAGCAGAGTTCTCAATTAGAACTGGCCAAACGCATGCAGAGACAATGCAGTGTAAAAACAACATCAAAAGAATCATCAGACTGTATACACAGGTGCACATGGGTTCCAGGTATTGGGAAATATATAAAGAAATCAATTCGAGGAATGGGCCTGGTACCTGGACAGAGCATTTTCAAAAGAAGAAAAAAACTGAATAAAAATTATCTCAAAAAGTGTTCTTTGTCCCTAGGAATTAGGGAAATTCAAATCAAAGCAACATTGACATTTCCTCTTGTTCCAGTCAGAATGACAAAGACCAACAAAACAGCCGACAACAAAAGCTGGAGGGGATGTGGGGAAAGGGGACCCTCATTCATTTTTGGTTGGATTGCAAACAGGTCTAGTCACTTTGGAAATGAGTGTGGAGAATCTCAAAAAGCTAAAATTTGAATCTACTATATAGCACAGCTATACCACTTCTTAGCATATACCCAAAGGACTCTATATCCTGCTCCACAGATACTTGTTCAGCCATGTTCATGGCTGCTCTGATCACCAGAGCTAGGAAATGGAAACAACCTAAATGTTTGTCAACTGATGAATGTATAATGAAAAATGTGGTCTGTATACACAATGGAATACTATTCAGTTGTAAAGAAAGATGAAATTGGCAGGAAAATGGACCGAGACAAATACCACATGTTATCTCTCCCTAGCTCCAAATATTCAAATGTGAGTAAAAAACCCGGGGTAACTATAGAAACCAGGGAAGTAAAATGGGACCATCTCAGGCCAGGGAGGAGCAATAGAGGAGGAAATAGTGTGGTACAAGTGATCTAAAGGGGCACATGGCAAAAATCGGGGCGGGGGCTCAAATAAGAAAAGGGTCTGAATCGGGGGGGTGATAGGAACAGGAATGATCAGGTTGGGGGAGGATGGAGGTAGAGAGTACTGGGCGAGACAACTGGAATGGAGGGGCATTTCTGGGAAGAGCTAGAAACCTAGAGCAAAAGAGACCCGAAAGCCCGCCCCCACAGTGACACACTTCCTCCAACAAGGCTACAGCTCCTAATAGTGACACTGTTATTCTCTTTGACAAGTGATGCTTTTGTCAGAGGATAAATTGGCACGACGAAGGCAAGACTGCTGGGGAGAATATAAAAGTCGGGCTGAGGACTGAGCAGCTAGGATTACACAGTCTCTTCTGGTTTTTGTCAGATTTGCTTTAATGAATGAAAGAATGCCCTCTAAGTGCCACAAAGTACAAAAAGGAACTTGTATTTTCATGTTCTACTTGCCTTAACTTGATTATAGATTAAGTTCATGGTCATGACTTGGATAACTTAGGTGGGCAACTAGGAGGCAGTTCTCGTTAGGCAAGGCAACTGTCTCACACTTACTCATAGGATTTGGAAGTTGCTATTGTTAGCAGGGCTATCAGATAACCCCCTATGCCTTTGACACTGCCTAGTATTAGTAAGTTCTCTGGACACATGACCTAGTAAATCAATTTGCTTCTGAAGAGCATAGGGGCAGATGCACTCCCCATGCAGAAGAAAAGGATATGTGGACAAAATATTGTAAACAGACATTTTTCTGTCCCAACTGCCCAGTCCCAAATAATCATTCAGAGGCTTATATTAATTATAAATACTCGGCTGATAGCTTGGGCTTGTTACTAGCTAACTCTTACATTTAAATGAACCCATTTCTACTAATCTATATATTGCCATATGGCTTGTGGCTTCACCTATCCTCTAACATGGTTTAAGGCTCTCATTAAACCTGCCTCTGCTTTTACCTGGCACCTAAGTGGAGGCACCTTTCAAAGTGGAACAGAAAAGAGTACAGCTGAATTCTGCTCCAACCATGTTTGCTGGGCCATAAGAATGGCGACAGTACTCACACTCCACAAAGTACGAGCTGGCGTCAATCTTCCAAATGATCTGGCCTCTATGAGAACCATTGACTCCACGATTCTTATAATCCAGAAAGTTTTCAGATGAGACTTCTCCTATGAGTGCAGAAGGGAAAAGGAGAGCAGAGAAATATATCAGCCAGCAGCATATTTAGGAGAAGCAAAGAAAAAGAGCAAAGGATATGAATAGTAACACTTGAGATCACATAGAAAGCTGGGAGTGTTCCAAGATACCATCAGAACAAAGCATTTTTTCTACCCAACATTCCTGGCACATGAATTTACTTACTTCTTAAACATCTCCATAAACAGAAAGCAATAACCACAAACAATCACTGCAATTCTTAAGTTATTATTTTTGAATAGTTCTTAGCTGTATGAAATCTGTGAAAGTCTTCTTAAAATTTCTGACTTGATCCTCATTTATGAATAAAGAGACATAGAGAAGAGGTCTGATGGTGCTTGCCTTCCTGAATGTAGCTTTCTCCCTCTCCCACTCCTATCTCTCATGAACTCCACCATGTATCATATCTTCTTCATTCTGGGACTCATAATACTTTTTTATTTTATTTTTTAAAATGTACTAAACAGGATTCCATGAGGCCATTTTCATATAGATGTATACGCTAAGTATACTCCCACCCATATCTCGCTATTCTCCACATCCCCTTGCACTAATTGTCTTCATTCTCCAGTTCATTTTTACTTTCATGGTAATTATGAAGTCTAGGACCCACAACTGAGAGAAAACATGCAATATTTGTCTGTCTGAAACCGGCTTCATTTGCTTGATTGTTATGGTTATCTCCAGCTTTGTGCAAATGACATATGACATAATTCAATTCTTCTTTATGGATAAAGAATATCTGATTGCATTTATGTACCAAGTTTTCTTTTTTCTTTCTTTCTTTTTTTTTTCTTTTTTTTTTTTTCCGAGACAGGGTTTCTCTGTGTAGCTTTGGCGCCTGTCCTGGATCTCACTCTGTAGACCAGGCTGGCCTTGAACTCACAGAGATCCGCCTGGCTCTGCCTCCTGAGTGCTGGGATTAAAGGCATGCACCACCACCACCTGGCTGTACCAAGTTTTCTTAATCTATTCCTCTGTTGTCAGACACCTAGGCTGGTTCTACAACTTTGCTATTGTTAATAAGGCTGTGATTTACTAAGCATTGGTGTGAAGTATCTCTGTGATACATTGACTTGGACTCCAAGATGATATACCTGTGTCATAGGAAAGTTTGAATTTTGTGAGGAAATTCCATACTGATTTCTATGTCTAGAGTAATTTACATTCTATGAGCCGAGTATAAAGGCTCCCTATAGTCTGCAATCTTGACAATATTGGCTATTTGCTTTCTTGATAACTGCCATTCTTAATGAGTGAGGTGTAATCTCAATAACTCTTGTATTTGCATTTTTCTGATGGTCAGTGATTTTGAACCAGTTTCTTGACAATGTATACTTACTTTGTTCTTCAAGGATTGATTTTGCTTTAATTAGCCAGTTTATTATGTAGGTCATTTTGGGTTTTGGTATTTGATTTTATTTTGAATTCTTTATAGATATTAATTCTCTGTCATATGTATAGTCAGTAAACATTTTCTTTTTTATTTTTACTAAGGAATTTTTTATTCATTTTAGATTCCAACCACAGATCATCCTCGCTTCCCTCTCACTCCTCCAGAATTCCCACCTCAGCCCACCCCCTGTTCCCTCCTCCAACAAGGTAAGGCCTCCCATGGGTATTTAGGAAGGTCACTTCTTAGTTCTTTCTGATGTGGCAAAAATATTGTAATAAAAGCAACTTAAGCAAGAAGGTTCATTCTGGATCACAGGTCAGGGTACAGTTCACGATGGCGGGGAAGTCAAGTGGCAGAAGTCTGAAGCATTTGGTTTCGTTGCATCCGCACTCCAGAAGCAAGAACAAACTTAAGTTTCTTTTCTCTATCACCGTGTGATGGTGTCTTTCATGGTGAACACATTTTCCCTCCTCAGTCAATATAACTGTCCTAGTGAGGGTTACTATTGCTGTGATAAAACACTATGACCAAAGCAAGTTGGGGAGGGAAGGTATTTATCTTATGCTTCCATATTACTGAAGGAAGTCAGGACAGGAACTCAAACAGGGCAGGAACCTGGAAGCAGGAGCTGATGCAACAGCCGTGGAGGAAGAAAGAAGCCATGCTTCTTTCTGGCTTGCTCCTCATGGATTGCTCAGCCTGCTTTCTTATAGAACCCAGAACCACCAGTCCAGGGTGGTACCACCCACAATGGTTTGGGCCCTTCCCCATCAATTAAGAACATTCTCTATAGGCCCATCCCTACAGCCTGATCTTATGGAGGCATTTTCTCAATTGAGGTGCCCTCCTCTCAGATGGCTTTAGTTTGTGTCAAGTTGACATAAAACTAGCCAGAACAATAACAAAGATAATTCCCCAAAGGCATGCCCATTAACCCTTCTCTTACAAAGTCTAACCACCACCACCACCACACTATTGGTTTTTCTATGCTACTTTTGTATCTTTCTGGTAGAGGGTTTGTTTTTTGTTTTTTTTTTTTGTTTTTTTTTTTTTTAAAGATTCAAGGGCTGATCATTTATTTGTTACTTTAAAGACTTAGTTTTGCCTGGACTTCTTGGAATTAGGTTCTCAGGAATGGCAGCCTACATTTCTCGGCAATATGTTCCTAGCATTTTTGTCTTCTTCCATTCTCTTGGTCAAAAGTGTAGAACACTCTGCACCCCTCTCCTCATTTTTCTTAGTGCATTGTCTCTTCAGAGCAATGACACAGGCGCCCCTATTGTAGGACATGTGGAGTAGCAAGATGCTGAATCTCGGACACTGAATTTTGGATGCTTTGCTCCTGGGCTTCTTACCTTCTTTGTTCAATGGCTTTCTGACAGTGTATTGGTGGACATCATTGTCTTTAGAGAGACTGGGAAGTTTTCAGATTCCGCTAGCTTGTTTGGGTCCCAGCTCCTGAGATACAGTAGTATCTATCAGCTCAGGAATAGCCCCTCCCACCCTCAACCCTGTAACCAGGTTGAAAACACTTGGACTGGCATCCACAATGCAGCCAGAACACACTTGTGCTTCCCCTCTCCCATTCTCCTTGGTCTATAATAAGAATGCCTCAGACTCAAGAGCAGGCACACTCCTCTTGTGGGTCAAGACACCTTGTTTCATGTGAAAATCTTGTTTTTCATTTCCTTCATTCATTTGAACCCCATAAACTCTCCACTCTTCACCCAGAGCATCAGGAGCTACTTATATGTCATGTGCTTCTCATAGAAGGCATGGAGCTTGTGTTCATTGCCCACTTCAATGAGTTTCTGAGTGGGAAGGAGATATTCAGCTTCATCTTGACACAGCAACTGCTTATGAGGTGCCACAGAAAAAGAGCTCTGGTAGAGTTTTTAGGGTGTCTAAAATATAGGCTCACATTTCCAAACAGGGATACTCCGAATTCTTCCTTTCCTACTTGATTCATTTGATTCCCTTCTCTCGTTTTCTGGTTCTAGTTGAGATCTCTATCACTATATTAAAAGAAAAGAATGTAAGCATTCTTGGCTTGTTCTTGATTTTAGTGGTGATGGTTTTGTTTTGATCTCATTTAATATAATTTTGGTTACACATTTGTTATATATAGCTGTTATTATTTTGAGATATGTTTTTCCATGCCTATTTTCTTCAGAATTTTTGATCATGAGAGGATGTGTCTTTCTGAATTGATTAAGTTAGCTTTTTTTGCATCAGTGTTTACTGGGGACAAAATTCTTTTCATGTGTCTTTATCTGGCTTTAGTATCAAGGTAATACTAGCTTTGTAGAAGGTATCTGGCAATGTTCCTTCCCTTTCTATTTTATGGAAGAGTTTATGAAACTTTGGTATTAGTTCTTTGGCTGCCTGGTAAAATTAACAATGAAGACATCTGGACCTGGACTTTTCTTCGGAAGATTTGTTGTTTTTAAATTTCTGCTTCAATCTCATGGCTTGTTGTAGATCCGTGGAAGTAATTCATTTCATATTAGTTTAATTTTGGGCAGGTCTTATGTGTCTAAAAATTCATCCATTTCTTTAGAACTTTTCCAATTTAGTAGAATGTGGGTTTTAGACATGTATAATATTTTCATTTATATTTGTTGTAATGCCTCCCTTTTCATCTCTAATTTTTTATTTGGGTCTTCTCATTCTTTGTTTTAGTTAATGTTGCTAAGGGCTTATCAATCCTATTTACCCTTTCAAAGAATCAATTCTTTCTTTGTTCTTTAATTCTCAGCATTTTCATGTCCATTTCCTGCATATCCTCCCTGGTCTTAATTATTCCTTTCCTTCCTTCTATTGACTTTATGGTTTTCCAATGCTCTAAGGTGCATCTTTAACTTATTTGAGATCTTTCTGATTTTTAATTTTTATTTATTTTTAAATTATTTTATAGAAATGTGCTGTTTTATTACAAAGAGTCACAAAATATAAATTTCTCAAAAAGGAAGCTAGGCCAACTACCTCCCCATACAGAACTGGGGGAAGACAGGGCAATGTGAGTTTTTCTGCTTGCCCGAGACCACTGGGAGGGTATAAATAGAACCAATCTAAAAATGGCTGAGATTACCTGAGGCTGAAAATAAAGGGTCCCAGAAGAGGCAGTCACCCCTTCTAGAAAGCTTAATAAGGACATCTTAACAGAGCCCCTAAGTAGGAACTTGGCAGTTTAGTATTTGTCTTCCTATTGTTTACTTTCCACCTAGACCCTCAGTTCAAAACTAAGTCCTGGGGCAAGATGGACAAGGCAGCTTTGGGAAGAATTCCCCCAGCACCACTGCCCTGGACTCTGGTCCCTGATTCTTGTATAGTCCCTGGGGACATTATATTTAATGTATTTTATATAAATACATAGTGGAATAGAAAAATATAAAATCTGAGAGATTGGGGAGAAGTGAGGAACTTGGCCAGATGCACAGATTTTGCTCAGGCCAATTTGACTTCTTCTTGGACCCCTTTGGCTTCTGGTTTTTCCTCTTGTTTTCTCCTATTCTGTGATTTCTTTTTACTCTTCTGGATCTTTCTATTTTTTATCTTCTGTTTTGACTCTTTTGG